AAATTAGTAATTTTTAATGCCAAGAAATCAATTTTTCTAAAATCTGTTGCAGATACAAACAAAGAAATAATAATAATAATATTTTTGGGACACATTTTTTTTCAAAAATCACTACTTAATTAATTAATCATATAACTACAACAGAATGGTTAGTACAAGTCAAAAAGATAAACTATTAGGGACCAGAAAAAGGTAGGCAACCTAGCTGTTACATATTCTGTATGTTTTATGCTTTCCATTGGAATTTCGTTCATTTGGCAAGCAAGTTGGTGAAATTTAAAAAATAAATTATTTTTTTAATTTTTTATTTATTATAGCTAGCCTTGATCATATTTTTTATGGCAACCCTATTGGTTTATGTTCAGAAACATATTTTATTTGATAAAATATAATTTTCATCTGGTAAGCAGATGGGTGAAGGTCGACCTTACTTGGGATCTTAGACTATTAAACCAAAAAAGGGAAAAATTTTGCCTAAATGTCGAATAAATTCTATAGTAACGTTATTAAATAAATCAAATTAGTATTTAATGCAATAACATTCTAACATAAAATGAAATAAATATCAATATAAAAATAGATTTAGGAACGAGAACTTTAGTTCTTAATTTAAAAACAGTAAACGATTAAAAACCAAGTGCTAGCTACTTATTGGTATTATAGGAACTTTTTTGGGCAACCGTACGCGAAGTAACATTTCGCGGCCGTTGTCATAGCGACGGCCGTTAAAGTAAATGTCACTTATAGGTATATTTATATTTCATACTTCCTCTTTGATTTTTCAGGTACTAACTGCGACACTGCAGAATTCGCAGCAATTTTTAGTTCCGGAGGAGTTCCGGTTATCGAAGTACCACTATCACTTTGAAAATTAAACATTATTACTTTTCTTTGACACAACTTTTACTGTCAAATATTATATCTCATTTAATTGTTTGCCATTTCCATGGAAACCATTCTAGATTTTTGAATTATTTTTAATTTATTATCTGTCACATAATATATTATAATTAAAGTTTCCAATGTAGCAATAAAACGTGTAGGTACTTGCCCAAAAAATTTTGTGTATACCACAGCCTCGAAACCCTTTAGAGTCCTCGAGATTGTCTTGCCTCGGCCGCAAGCGGCCTCGGCAGCAATTTTTCCCTCGGTACTCCAAAGAGTGTTTTCGCGGCCTTGGTATACAAATAACTATTATTCAGGAATACGGATTACAAGATCCCATTGGTTCACCCATTGGCTCACCCATTTATGCTATGTTAGCGTTTTTTCTGTGTATAATTTTTGTATTACGTAAAAACATAAAATATTTGAAGAAAAAAAATTATTTATAACAAAATGGAGAATTAAAAATATGTTTAGGTTAAAATAATAAATTTCGTGAAACGGTGAGACACGGGTACGTTTTTTTAACCTTTATTTTTAAAATCTATTAAAATTTTTCATGAAAGGTAAATTGTGTTGTACTGTGTTATGACTGATGATTTTCTTTTCAGTATGCAGATTTAGGCAAAATTATACGAGTGTATATTTTCCAAATATTTTATATTAGGAAACATATTTAAAATGAGATCTTTTGCAAAAATAACTTACTTAAAGAGGGCTTAGCAAAATCTGCACGAAATTGGGAATGACCTAAGTCTGCAACGGGTAAGGATTTGCGAGTTTACATAGCAGATATATGGTCTCGAATATTCCTTTTCCGAGGATTATGATATTATCCTGCGTGAAGCTGATTAGCCGCAGATTCCGTTGACATATTTAATCAAGACCCGCAAATAAATCCACCCGAACCTGGTAAATACACTGAAATTGTTAGCAACCAGCAACACATATTGCTTTAGGCTCAAATTTCGTTCTATAAAGTTTTTGTTTTCGCAAATATAATCTCATCATTTATGCAGAACAGTTCTGACAACCTTTTGAATATTGCATTGTTGAAAGGGTTTTTGTTTTCTCTGAAATGTCGATACGAAAAGTTTGTTTGACTCCAAATGGCTCGATATTGATTGGCCGAAAGCAAAGTCAAGTAAAAATTGATGCTTTCAAATCCATTTTCTTTTATTTTTACGATTTCGGGTGACGCTATCTTGTTAAAAATTGCCATTCAATAAATATTACATAAGGATGTTCCAGAATGTATGTATGTTGTTTTATAACCTTTACTTATTAAACTGAAATGTAGAAAAACGGTAAAATTCGTTTATTTATTTTGACGTTGAAATATTTGATTAACTTGTTTTTTTTTTCATTAAATTGGCAAATAAAATTATAAAATACTTTTCTCCTCAGTCCCACTACGTGACTACGTACGGAAGGCAGTCTTTTGAAATTTTGGCGTTTAAAGCTTTTCAGGTTATGTATCTGTCAATGAAAGAAATTATATTTATACTGTTACCGCTTATGTTTAAGCGTTAAAAGTTAATAAATCTTTATAGTATCACAATAACAATAGATGGTTTAAGAATTTAGGAATATATATAATGCATTTAATGAAATTCTAAAGTGTATGGTGCCAAATAAGTAATATTTTTGTGCATTTGGTCTACATATCTCCATAAAATAGTTTTTATCTACGCCAGTGAGATAAGAACTTCTTATCCCACTCATTTTGAGTGAGATAAGAAGTTCATTAACGCACGCGTTTTTCTCTGCTTTTAACCAATCAAATAAAAAATTTATACAGTTTTTCAAATAATCCAAAATACTTATTTATTTCGGTCAAAATATATTTTTTTAACCTTAAAATTACAAAATTAGATGATATTTTTTATAAAATATTAACCTATGTACCTTTAATACGGATATACTTATTCCGTTAAGTGAACACACCTTAATCAATGCTTATTCCATAATGGAGAAGCTAGATTTTTTTTAATAAATGCTGTTTAGTTAAAATTATTTTATGGAGAAACCCAGATATTTAGACCAAATGCTTAAAAATATTACTTATTTGGCCCCATACACTTTAGAATTTCATTAAATGCAGTATTTATTTATTGTTATTGTAATTTTATAAGGATATATAAATTTGTAACGCCTAAACATAATATTATTTCTTTCATTGACTATACTTTGACAGATACATAACCTGAAAAGCCTTAAATGCCAAATTTTCAAAAGACTGCGTTCCGTACGTGGTCACGTGGTGGGACTTTGAGGTGTGGAGCGTAGGACATGTTTTCATGACACTCAGTGACCTTTTAAATAGACGTTGACAAGTTGTGGCTTTAAGGCGCTTTAGTCACGGGCTGAAGTTAGTTTTAAGTAAGTTGACTGTTGTCAAATGTCATACAGTCGTTAAAATAAAGTGCCTTTCTTCAAAAGTAATACTACATGTGAACATTATTTTATTATCTTAATACAAAAGTATTAAATAATTTCGTGACGCCAATATTTTATAAGATTATATGAACGTTTGATTTGGCCGTAATAGTGCAGTTAACTAGATTTAAATGATAAAGCGTTAAAAATTTTGCGTACAGTGCCCATTAAACATTCTCTTCTCTTTTACTAAAATTGCTTCTATATCGATGGTTAGTCTTGACCGATCCAACCTCACTTTATCCCAATTAAATTATTTTTCTTTGGTATTTTTTGGAAACGTAGAAAAAGAATAGTCTAAAACACATTTGGACTTGACAGTCCGCTTTTGTGAAACCGTCAAACACAGTGTGAAAGAGATTATTAATAAATTGATAAAGACCAATTTTTTTAAATGAATTGTCAAAAATGGCGAATGCACTGGGTTCAAATGGTAATTATTTGAATAGGGTGTAAAGAAAATAACGGATAAACTCTTCAACACAATCCAAATTACAATAAGACACCCAGGTTATTAAACCTTAAAATGTAATCATTATAACTCGTAAAAATACTTTTTTTAAACATAAAATATTTTAGAAGCCTTATACCTAACTCAAACAAATACAAATTAGTAAATGGACCAATTATCCAAATTTTTATATTTTGTTTTTAATTTTATTTAAAAATTTGGTAAAGTTTATACATTTTTACTACCCCCTTAAAATAACTTTAGTTTTTATTTCCCAGTCACGTTTTATTATAACTGTAAAATATCCTGTTGCATTTTAAGTACTAAGAACTTTGCAATTAAAGTCGACAATAGAAATTCTAAGCTAAGCTTTTAAACGGGGAATGGGCAGATTTTAGCAAAATGACTATATCAAAAGCCAGCACTGCTTTTAAACAAGCATTCCGCGTAAATCCGGAAAATCGGGAGCCCGCTTAAGTGTAAGGATTCCCGGAAAAATGTCTCACTTACTTTAAGAAGTGATATTTTTTAAAATCCTTCAAACACACGTTCCTGCGTTTCTAAAATAATGGTTACCCAGAATTGGTCAATATACAGTGTGACCCATTTGTTTGCGACTCACCCCTGTAAAATCTTTATTTATTGTGCGATTTTAACCGGATTTGTTTTAAAGTGTAGATCTTGATAAACTGTAGTTTTTGAGCAAAAAACGTCATATTTTTAAAAAAATACAAGGCCTACTATGTCAGTTTTTAAGAGTAAATTTTTAAAAATTCATATTAGCGAATTTTTTAAACAAAATCTAAGCACGGCACTGGATTCACCACCCCTTAAAACGATCCTTTACTAAATTTTATTGAAAAATTTTAAGTAGAAAAATGCAAAATAATAACTACAAAAATTTATCCATTTATCCATGAAAAAAACATTGTAATAAAATTAAACTAATAGTAGCATGTTACTATTACTATAAAAATTGGAAATTGAGGGTGTTCTAAAACTTAAAAAGTTGGACGTCATAACTTGAGCGACCAATCACAACTAATTGACCGCAAAAGCCGGGAATTTAAAATTTGAATTAATTTAAAATAATTATTACGGCGTAAATTTGAATATAATCAATAAACTACATGTAACCCCGATATGGCAGAACCTATCCAAATAAAAAATAAAAATAGTTTGCATTTTTTTACGTGATATTTATTCTTTGTTCTAATGTATGAAGGAATTAATAATTTATCGTTTGTTTCAGGGGACATTACTCAAAAAGGATACGAGAAAAAGAAGACGCGACTGCTATCTCCCTACGTGCCTAAACAAAATTCAAGTAAGTGTACTTGTTTTAAAAAAAGTCAAACAAAATAATTTTTTATTTATGTGAATTTATTTATTTTAATATACAAAAATGTGGGTCATAAAAATACGTAAACAATTTGATTTTATTGGTTTAACATTACTATGGTTTTTTAATTTAAATTAATATTGTTTTACGAGCAAATCCAAATATTGCATTGTTTGTTTTGTGTTGTTCTCTCTAATAAATGTTCATAATAAATAATCCACTGTGTTCTCGATAATTAGTTGTCAATTTATTTCGTTATCAGGCCTGGTAAATCAATAATTATTTTAAACAATATACAAAAGCCTATTAAATAATTATTTGTCAGCTTTAATATATAATTAAAATCGGTAAAACACTTTCATTTCCTTATACATTTAGAAGCTGTGACTTTATAGCGTTTTAGTTACTGGTAAATCCGGGTGACAGTTGACAGATGTCAAACTTTTAACAAATAAAATTGGCTTTAAATTGTGTTTTGTGTTCGTCAACTTCTCTGGATACTCGTTTTTAATAAACACTTGCTTGAAAGCTTCGCTCGTGATTAATAAAACTCGTAACTGAAATGGCCTTTATAAAACTTGATACATAATATCGTGGGTGTACAAGCAAAAAGCACCATGACAAAAACCAAGTTTAGAAGTTATAAGTAATTTAAAAAGCAAAATAGTTTTATTGCATTTCGTCTGTTGCTGTAATTCTATTTTTAATACACCATTGTCTTAGGGCGATTTAGCAGTACATAAAGGATTGTAAGTTGATATAAGAACCGATGAAAAAACGTTTTGCAAAATTGTTGACTATTGCTATTGCTTGTAACCCCACGAAATACTATTAAAATTTCGTATTAAATTTAGTTCAACTTTATACTTTATAGCCAATTCAGTGTCAGGTTGTTTGATTTAACAGCGTTTTTTGCACAATAAATTCTCCAAAGTAAACTAAGTTTAAGGCTTGTACACAAGTTTATAAACTTGTCTTCGACGCGAGTGTCTGTTGGTTGATGGTTTTTATGAGCCCTGGTTGGCAAACTATTAATATTAGTTTAATGGGTATTACATTACTGATTCTCTGTGTTGTCATCTTAAACATGGAGATTATTGCGGAATTCAGACACCATACACACACACATACGCGGTACCGTGTAAGCGTCTTAAGTTTTGAGTACGCCGCGGCGCGCCGCGTGTTGTCACGTCTTAAGGGGTTATTCAGATGTCTAAACATCTTATGATTAAGAAATAATTAAAATTTCTTAATTAATTTTAAAGATCTAGAATTAGAGGGTTTGAACTAAATTATTTATTTTTTGTCACTACGTTTGCTATACAGGTTTTTTTTCAAATAAACTAAATTTCTATGGGTTTTCGTTTTGAAGTTACAGGGTGTTAAACAATTTTTTTTTAATAACTTACACTTTAAGATATGGATACCAAATTTTAGCTCTTACTTTATTTTTGGCACATCAGATTATGTTCCTGGTACCTTCATTTACCTGTATGTGATGTGAAAAAGCTGGTATTTACAAAAGTTTAATTACGAAAAAACGGAAAAAGATATATCTGTATACAAAAAGTTAAAAATATAAATGAAATTATAACAAATTAACAAAAAATATATACAGGGTGTTCCAAAAATAGTGTGCAATACTCTACACGTGGTTTCTAAAGACAAAAATAGAAATAAATCTTCTTATAAACATAGGTAGGTAAATGGCCCCTGAATAAGTTTTTTTTAATATTTTTACCGAAACGGTTTGGGAAAAAATAATGAAATTTTGTATGCCTACTTATCTTTTTATGTTGAATTTAAAACTTTTATTAAACAGTATTTTTAGCCCCAAATTTTTTGTGTTCATTTTTTTTGCAAGTTGGCCGCAGAATAAAAAAAAATTGAGTTTTCTACGTAAAAAGGTAGGAATAAAAATAAAAAAAAAATAAAAAAAAATTGACTGTTTTCTTTTGGTGTTAATCATATTTAATAAGAAAAAAAATGCATGTTTTTCCCGATAAAAACATTATTTTATCTCAAACGGTTTCAGAAATATTAATAATAAACCATCTTCAGAGGCTTTGTAGGTCCATTAGGGGCCATTTGCTGACCTATGTTTATATAAAGTTTTCTTCTCTTTTTTTGGCCCTAAAAATAGCTTATAAATTATTGCACAATATTTTTGGGCGTACCATATTTTTCCTTTTAACACTACCGCATTAAGTATTTTTTTTACTTCCACTATAGCATTATCAAATAAACTAATTAATTATAAGAATTTATTAACTTTAAAACCAAAACCCTTTAGGTATAACTAAAAAAACAATTATTTTTGACTAAATAATTCACCGTTATTATTTTATTTCAACCTATGCGGCGAAAACATAATATAGTATTATGCACAATCCATTGTGATAACAAATCTGTTTGTTTATTAAGTTTGCTTCTAATAATATCGCACATACAGAGTGTTCTCAATGTGGAGGCACTATAAAACTCTTAAAAATAAGTTATATCACCAAAAATTTAAAATATAACTTTAAAACGAATTATAGCCAATATAAAAAGTAATTAATTAAAAAAAACTATTTTTAAGTATTTAATTTAATTTAAAAAACAAAACTTTTGTTAATTGATTAACTTGACAAATTATTTATAATAACATCAATATAATTTATCTTAAAGTAGGTTTAAATTTCCCCCTTGAGTTCAATATTATTGAATTTAGCCTGATAACGAAGGAAATACTTCATATATTTAATAAATTTGCATCTAAACTATTAATATATTATTATACGCCGAGTAAATAGCAGTGTGGTATATTATTTTCTAAATTTTAGTTAAACATATACCTACCTAACGAATTTTTATAACCAATTAAATATGTTACTTCATTATCGACTCATTTCCATTAAACATTTTATATGTGTGGTGTATGCGTATTTTACTAACACGCTTTAATGATTGTTTGTGGAGGTTTTTTACTATCGTTGTAGATGTTGTCAAAAATGGCGAATGCGCCGGGATTTAATTAATTAAAAAATTAAAAGCTTTTAATCCATATTTAAAAAATGTAATAATTGAACAATTTGTGTACATTTCGGATTTACTGTAAATATTTAGAAAGAAGTTTTTAAATAAAAATTCTTCAAAAACATAAAATCCTAGTAAAATAATTAACAATTACAATTAAAGTAAATTTCTACTCCCACCGTTAAAACGCACATTATTGTACATATTTCCATGACTGTGGCTTTTTACGATAAATTAAAAAACCTAAAAAGTTTTTATGTTAGCTAAAATGAGAATCTCCATAATTTATTTATATTTAAGCGAAAAGTTTATTTATTTTATAAAGATCATTTTTTATATATTTTTTTTTCTGACGAGGAGTTTTTCTGAAAAACCGGAAAATGACAAATTTATTTTGTCAGTGTAACTTTTTAAGGGTCAGGGTCCCTGACTCGGAATTATTTCTGATTTAATTTAATTTGTATTTTTTGTCTGCACTTAAAAGTTATTGCCCCAAGTCTATTTATGATGTCCGCTAGAATGCGGAATTTCCCGGATACAGTAGTTTTTGGAAATAATAATTTTAGAGTCCAGAAAATTTTAAAAAATAACTGGAATACCGGAGAAATTAGGGATTTTTTTTAAGAGGCCACCCTGATTTCTTCAATGATACACTGAGAGAAAAAATGTTGTAGAATCATTCAAAACGATAATAATTCAAAGGGATTCAAATATGTTTTGGCGTCATTGGTGTGTCCCATTAAATTAAAAGGTGTATAACAATTGTATAATACATACATTTTTAAAACAACGTAGAGAAAGGCAATGAAATAAATAGATTTCTTTTTGTATATTTTGTATATTTTAAAGATACACTCAGAGAAATATCAAGTTATGAAAAGCATATGAAATTATATTAATTTAAATAATCGGGTAAATTTAATTCAAATAGAAAAAATTTTAGTTTTACATTCATTTACCAACAGTTTTACAATGTTTTGAAACACTTTTAAAGTGTACCCTCTTTAAAATATATATACAAAAAGAAATCCATTTATTTCATTGCCTTTCTCGAAGTTGTTTCAAAAAGGTATGTATTATACAATTGACAATTGACCAATGACGCCAAAACATATTTGAATCCCTAATAATTCAAAGGGATTCAAATATGTTTTGGCGTCATTGGTTTCTCATTAAATTAAAAGGTTTATAACAATTGTATAATATTTTTAAAATAACGTTGAGAAAGGCAATGAAATAAATAGATTTCTTTTTGTATATATATTTTAAAAAGAGTACACTTTAAAAGTGTTTAAAAACATTGTAAAACTGTTGGTAAATGAATATAAAACTACATTTTTTTCTATTTGAATCAAATTTACCCGATTATTTAAATTAATATCATTTTATATGCTTTTCATGATATTTCTCAGAGTGTAGTACACTTTAAAAGTATTTAAAAACATTGTAAAACTGTTGGTAAATGAATATAAAACTACAATTTTTTCTATTTGAATCAAATTTACCCAAATATTTAAATTAATATCATTTCATATGCTTTTCCTGACATGATATTTCTCTGAGTGTATTTATACATTATAATGTACATCAAATATAGGTATCGTGGACAGATTATTATAGAAAAGTTATAAATCAACAACTAATCGGCAAAAGAATAAAAAAATATATACATATTAAATATGTAAATCTAAAATTTAACAAAAATCCAAAACCTTTTTTGTTTAAATGTGTATTGAAAGCTTAAAAAAATAATTTTGCAAATATTTTAATAAATAAAAAAATAGGCAACAATAGCAAAAAACCTCCTAATCAAGGCTTACACGTGTGTTTGACCATCGACATTGGTGGCGTAGAGAGCGGGTTTGATCGTTTTTTTCTGTGTGATGTGTTTAGCCGGAAGCGGTGGTGGAAACGATGCAGGAAACGGAAACGGTGGCGGCGGCGGTGCCGGAAGCGGCGGCAAACAGCAGCACACCAGGAGGCGCACGCAGCGCCGCGTCACTCACAACGAGAAAAGATATCATTCAGGTTCGCACATAAACACGCCTACCGCTCACTGGCGCCCCCTATCCAACGCCTGCTCCTACTAAACAGTCGACAGCCTCATATGCGCATGTCGTGCTTGCAGTATTGGCAATCTTTAGAAGTTACAAATACAAAAAATTCTAAATACACTCACGTGCAAAATAATCGATCCACACAAATTTTCGATGAATTTCAATCGCAAATAACTTTTTTATTTGATGTCGGATTTAAACGAATATTAAAGAATATTGTAGATAAATTAATGGACAATCGCTCACATTTTAAAAAAATACTAAAAAATAGACGTACGTTTATAATATACAGGTTTAAACAAAAAGATGTTTTTTACCATAAGTTTAAGACACTCTGTAGAGTGGCAAAACCGTATATTGATCTAAATTAAGTTTTATTTATCAAGTCACATCTATTCTTAACAGTTTTGTTTTTGGTTCACCTCGATATATTTATTTTTGTGGAAAATATGGATTTTTTTAAAAAACATTGCAATTTCCAATATTTTTCTGTATAAAGAACTAAGGTTGCTATGGTCCATCCATAGGCTATGGAGAATGACAGTGACAATTTTGTTGAATCATCATACTTGGACATGTCAAACACGGCTTTCAAAAGCTATGAAATTGTTTTTTGAAAATTAATGTTTAAATTTTGAGGTGTCTTCTTACTTTATAAAATGGATATGTCTCCGACTGATGTTGCCAGAGCTATTAATTTAATCCAGGATGGACGGTAACGTGGCAAGTGTTTTAAACGTCATAAGAAGTAAAGTACAAAGGGCAACATCAGTCGGAGACATTTTTAAAAGTAAGAAGACACCTCAAAATTAACATATTAATTTACAAAAAACAATTTGATAGCTTTTGAAAGCTGTATATGACATGCCCAAGTATGGGATGATTCAACAAAACTGTCACTGTCATTCTCCATAGGCTATGGATGGACCATAGCAACCTTAGTTCTTCATACAGAAAAATATTGGAAATTGCAATGTTTTTTTAAAAAATCCATATTTTCCACAAAAATAAATATATCGAGGTGAACCAAAAACAAAACTGTTAAGAATAGATGTGACTTGATAAATAAAACTTAATTTAGAACAATATACGGTTTTGCCACTCTACAGAGTGTCTTAAACTTGTGGTAAAAAACATCTTTTTGTTTAAACCTGTATATTATAAACGTACGTCTATTTTTTAGTATTTTTTTAAAATGTGAGCGATTGTCCATTAATTTATCTACAATATTCTTTAATATTTGTTTAAATCCGACATCAAATAAAAAAGTTATTTGCGATTGAAATTCATCGAAAATTTATGTGGATCGATTATTTTGCACGTGAGTGTATTTATTTGGACAATTTTATAATAAAACATGTTTAAAATTAATATTTTACCATCTAAATTATTTAAAAAATGTTTTGAAAAATGAAACTTTTTACAGCAAAAGTTTATGTTATGCAACATGATATTTTATTGTTTTGGTTTCTGACCGCAAAAAGGGCGCTCATTTGACCTGTAAAACTTCCGAACGTTGCCAATACTAAAATGTTTGCTTGGCTTATTCATTCGTGTATATGTTTATCTGTGTTGTTGGGTCTGCTTTTCTTTTCTTCTTTGTCGCACACACAGAGGAAAAATATTTTTCTTTTTTCAGGATTTGTTATAGGATTCAATAAATACGGTGTATTTTGATAGATTGGCTTTCTTTTATGTTTGCCCATCAACCCAAATGAGTTTTTATTAAAATGCGGCAAAATTGGAACGGAAAATGCAATTTGTTTCTGTTTCGTATAGAACTTTTATGCTAAGAAAATTTGATCATACATTTTATTTTTATATCTACTAGTAGAATTCTATTTTAGTGTTTTTTATAGATCTAAAGTAAATTATTGAGTTTAAATTATCTTTTAAAGCACTTTAATTATAAACCTATAAAGAATGTGCTGAATTTAAATCCGACTTTAAAACTTTTTTGGGAAATTCTAATCCTAAAGTAGAAAAAATTTCACTAGTGGCCTTACTAGTAAATGGTTAGATAGTCATTTTTTATTTTAATAATGGATGGTAGATAAAAATAATAATTGGGTTGTAAAAAAATAAAAATAAAAATTAACATTTGTGACATTATTAAAACAAATTAAATTAAATAAACTACACATCTAAACAAATAACGTTAATTAAATTATTGACATTTATTAAATGTTAAGGTAGTATCTTCATTTGAAGAGTTTAATGAATAATTTAAAATAAATAAAAGTAGGCCGTGACAGCAAAATCAGCGTTGCCAATGTAGTAAAAATAAAACTTTGTATTTTAATTAACAAATTACTACTTTATTACAAATTAAAGTATCATTAAAAACCAAAAACAACATAAAAAGTAAATAAGTAACAATATAAATTGTTATTTTGTTGTTATAATGGCATCATTGAGGTTTAAAACTGACATATTTTTAAGTTGGCAGCACGAAACTTGAAATGACACTTTTAAAAAGTTCTACAAAAATTGTATTTTGAGATTTCCATACCTACCCTAGACCAAACCATACTACCATACCTACTGTAATAATTAATTTCCAAGTCATGTTCTTTTTTGTGCTCGAGTTTAGAAACGAATTATTGCAAGAATGTAGCTAGTGAGATACAAAATATACTGTGGGGTATGAAAACAAATGTAACTTTTAAAACTATTTACTTGTAATCTGTGCTGCAAAAAATCTAAAATTATTTGTAAATGTGTAATACCACCTTGAGGTAGCCTTTGACCTAAGTCATGACCTTCAAATAAGACGTTGAAAATGTGACAAATGTGAACCAAAAATGGCGTCGAATGAAATAATACAAGCATATTTGTAGGTTATGTTAAAAGAGTAAGGTAGCTTGCCGCTTTATAAATCGGTGCCATTCTTTAATTCCTTTTCACCAAAAAACACACAAAACAAACTTGGTAACACATTGAAGCGACGCCATTTTTTGGTTCACTTTTGGCACACTTCACTACGCTTGTGCGTTACTCGTCCATTCTTTTTTAATTGTCTAAGGTAGGCTCCATGAACTAAACATTTAATATGTATTTTTACAATCCAATTAATATTTCTACCATCAATTTTTTAAATTAAATGGTTATTTATGTTATAAGGCTGAGAAGTGGTATTTTTGTGCTGGGCTCAAAGTTTGTATTGAACGAAGTACAAAAAGACACAGCCGAATGGCATACAATGTTTTATCTCCAAGGCACAATTTTATTAGTAAAACGATACATAAAACATAAAATCATAATAATAATTATTATTAAAAGTAGAAAGTAAGGTTAGGTAGATTTGACAGTAGTCGAATTTTTTGATTTACAGAAAAACCCGATTGGTCTAAATTATTTTTTACAGACTAAGTGATAATCAATCACTCTTGTAATGAGTGTTGACAATGATAAAGTTTAAATTATAGAACGCTTCAATATTATAGTATTTTATGCAACGACCATTTTATGATGGCTATTAAGACATGAGCATGAGCCGAAAGCGAATGTCATAATGAGTGAGAGTGTGGTAATAGCCCAATAAATGGGAGTTGAATACACTATTTTTCTACGACTATCAAAATAAATTGGAAAATTGGAAAATTTGTCAAATTTTATAAATATTAGATCTGTATCGTAATAAAAAAATCATTATAGATCTCATTATAGGACAGGTAGGAAATGTCTAATAAACTTAATAATTTATGGCAGCAAAAAAAATATGATTTTAAAATATAAAACTAAAATTGGCTTAAATTTAACCTATCCAGAGCAAATCTATATATGGTTTCTTTATGAGAAAATCGAATTAAATGATAACGGAAATTAGCCAATTTTGTTGCCATTTGGATAATGGAAAAACTTGTTGCATTTTTTGTTCGAGGGAAATATCAAAATACCACCATTATTTTAATACTTAGTGCAGTATTTATTTTTATTTTTTGTATATAAAGTCTGTTTTTTATAATCCATATACATATGTGGGTACTTATTTTCAGTGACTAAAAATATTCTTTAACAAACTTAATTACCAAGAAGAAAACTTCCTACGAGGTTCAGTCAACATATTCAGAGATTTTTTTTACAAACTTTTTCAAACTAGTAACTTTTATTAAAAGTAAAAAAAACAGGCTTTGTATTTTTTGTGTTTTGTTTATTCGCATGGCTCAGTGTTGTTTTGCATGTAGATGTGGGTGACGGGCTGCCCAAGGATGACAGGACCGGAGCTAGCCCTGGATCCAGGGCCTTGCGCAGGGGTAACCGACGGTTGACCCGCAACGAAAGTCGCTATCATTCGGGTAAGTTACGCTTTTTATGCCCTGCGGAAAAAATCAAACCACAATGGGAGGTTGTATGTGCCATTATCACGCTTAAAAATTCACAGAGCACTTTAAAAATCAGCAGCGTACCTATTAAACCACACAGAAAAAATTCTAATAAAAAAGACCATGAAAATATAGGTAGTTTTTGTTTTTTTCTAGACTTTTTGTTTAAAGAACTTTGTCTGTCCAGGGACCAAGAGATAAAGTAAGAAATATATCTATGTACTTAAGGCTTTTTTCGTATTCTTGTTCGTCATAGGTTTGTAATTTTTGTATTTAGGTTGCCTTTTACGAAATGTCACAAAATATTTGCAAGAAACGTATGCCTTAAAAAGGTTTGATAATATATAGGAGTAAAATAAAACTATTAAAATAAGAAGCTTGATAGGATATTTAAAAAAAATCCAAAACAACTGTTTCTCACATTTCTGGGGCTTCATCCTCTAAAACCCTACGCCCCTGACTTGTATTGAAGACCAAAAACCCATGGCTTTTTAAAAGTTACCTTAACTTCAAAAGTTATGGCCGTTTGAAGTTAAGTGATTGCTATTTGCTAATGTCATATGATTTTTATATGACATTAACTTCACACTTTATTTACAAATTTTAATTAATATTTATAATTTATAACTATGATTTAAACAATTATCTAAGTTATTTATTAAAATATATAAATTAAAGTAATGTGAGTTGCCTACCAATGCTTCTATAATATACAGGGTGTCCAAAAGTTGGCGCTCCCAAAGGTAATTGTAAGTTTCTTTTAAAATTCCAAGACAAATTGTCATTTATCATTTACCATTTTTTCAAATTCGCTAAATTGCTGGACTTATTTAAGTTTTAAAGCAGTTAATAAGGGCGCATTATTTCTGCTCTATCGGACGAATGTAGGTAGGCAACCCAATTCACAAATCGCCCTCATTGGCGACTTTAAGGTAGTATCTTCATTTGAAGATTTTGATAAATAAATAACAGTAGGCCGTGACAGCAAATTCAATTCATGAGCGAGCTCGTGAGATACAAAATAAAAAATGGCTTATAAAAACAAATTTTGGAATACCCTGTATAAATAAATAAAGTCAGGTTTACTCAGAGATTATAAAAGAACTGGCAGAGAATCTTGGAACAATTTAAAATTCATTATAACATCATCAGTTACAATAAATATTATCTTAAAAAAATACATTGAAGTTAAATGTATTACTTATATTAAATATTGGCAAGAACCGTCATAACTTTTAAAGTTAGGCTAAACTTTCAAAATCCATTGTAAGCTTTGTTCTACAAAAATATTACCTACTATCGACTCATCCAGGTATTTTTTTTATTTTTGTTTGTTAAAGCTTTCATGTTGATATTAAAAGTTTATTTACTTAAATTATTTATTTCATCATACTATATCATTAATTTGTATATCAAATTTCGCTTTGTATGATGTTTTTAAATAATATTTTTTAAAACTAAATATACAATTCTATTTTAAATGTGTACTTGGTTGCCTGAAATCAGACAAACCCCTTCAGGGTTTTTCACGCACTTAAGTCTTTGATTTGTGCTTAAAGTTAACCTCAAAATTGTCAGCAGATGTTTATAAAGTTGTGATGTAATTATGTGATAACAAAACAATTATTTCCTAAAGGAAAAGGCAGAGTTCCGTTCCCTGGATATGATAAATCAATAATAAAAGGAGTAATTGCATTTGCATAAACGATAAATATAATGAAGAAGTGGGTAACATATAAAGGTAATATTGATTTTCAAATATTGTGATTTTAGTTACTCATGTACTTTTAAAAAAAAGAGTTTTTAACAACTATGCATAAGCTATGTTAAAAACTTAATTTTGGCGGTCATAAAATAGTCTTTCTTGGAATTGATTTCAAAAACATGTTTTAAATTGTTTAATAGTTATATGCTGCTGATTTGCCCAAAAATACAAAAAAAATATGACTTGTGTAAAAATGTTTCATTTATCATACATAGGTACATTAATCTGCATTGATAATTTATAAGACATTTAAGGGGGTACCTAGGTCATGATCATGATATAGGTACCAGTTTTTATTGTATGAACCTGGCTTATTTTTAATAAAATTATACACCCCTTGCAAGGGTTTTACATTAAATTCTTTAGAATACTAAAAAACCCTCATCCATCCAACCATACAATTTAAAAGAAATAATTTTACATGTGTATAAAGTTGTAAAAGTTAAAAGTTTTACTCACTGGGCTCTTTTATTTGTAAAAATTGATCGTTTTTAATAAGTAAAACAATATAAACATAAATACCTACATCAAGTTAATAAAAGTACTAGAGTTAGTGAAATTTTAAACTCTAATTAATTAATATTAACGATTAGGTATTTGTATTAGTATTTTTATTTTTTAACTTTACTTTCTCTAGAAAGTCTGTGGGTAAAAGGTATAAGGGGATAAGTCAAAAAAAGCAATTTTTCAGTAGAGCCTTAAACGTATTCGCATTAATTCAGGAAACATATTTATGGTTAGTGGGTATATCCTTTTGTTAGCACATGTCATATGCTAACAAAAGCGTATACCCGCTAAACATAATAGTATATTCTGTAACAAGTTTGGAATACAGCATATTCCGCTCGAGTGAAGAGTTTGTCACACGAGCCGAAGGCGAGTTTGACGGTTTCACGAGAGCGGAATATGCAATTCGAAACATGTTTCCTGAATTAATGCGATCACGTTTAAGTCTCTATCGAAAAATTGCTTTTTTTGACTTATCCCCTTATGCCTTTTACCCACAGAAGTGGTTTCCATCGGAAGTGATAAACCAACCAAATTCTATAGAAAGTACGGCTGCAAATATCAATGTATTTAAAATATTAGGTATACAAAAAAGAGTAAAAGTAAATTATACTTTACCTCCTAGTACATGAAAAAGATTAAATATATCAATTGGCTAAAAATCTGGGGTAAGTCCAAAAATACCAACAATTCGTTTGTCCTGTGTTAAAAATATTGATTGCGTATGCACGCCTCGGTCTACGAAAATGAATGAAAATGTGGGATGTAATTTAAAGTTTAAACGATGCGGTTTTGTCGTGTGTTTTAGAAGTGCGTCAGGAGGCCGTGCAACAGGCGCTAGCGCAAGCAATGAACAGACACAAGCCGTCGATGCCGATGCCGTCCAAACGCACCTCCGTCATGGCCAGGAGTCCCGACCGGGACCGACAAGACTCAGGTAAAATTTGGATAATGATAATTTGTTTGTTTATAAGATTTTGTACATACATACATACATACAAATCATAGAATGTTGTTGAGTATTCATAGAGCACAAAATACCTGAAGCGCAAAGTATTTAAAAATTACAATTTATTTTCAAATAATTAGACATTTAAGTGGCAACACTGTGTGGGCTAAAATTGACACGACCTTAAAAATGTTTTTTTTTGTTATTTTATGTACACACATGTACAGGGTGATCCCCTATAATGTCGCCCCCCTTTAACTTTTTTATTTTAAGTGTCCCAAAAAATTTAAAAATGTGGTTATGTAGGTACTAAAAATACTTTTTTTCTATGTATAAAAAAAAATTCAAAATTGATCAATATACAGGGAAAAACAAAAAGTTTATTTTTTTCAATGGATCACCCTATATATGAATTTATTTTTCGATTCCTTGTAAAACACTGAGCATAACTCATATAACAAACCATATACCTAAATTCAACCGTTTCTGAAATATTCGCATTCGAAATGTCATCATTAAATGTTTTTTTAAACTGTTGGAAATCAAGAAGCCTCAGTATACCAAAATTTTTATTGACTATTTCCCTCGTCTTAATTTCCACCAATCACAAACGCGCAATTTTGAATTACAAATGGTTTCTAGGTGAAAAAACTGTGTGACAGCACCTGTCAGAAGTTTTTTCTAGTTTACCCGCGGCCACGGTCTTATATATAAGACCGTGCCCGCGGCAAAACTTGACAGCTGTTGTCACCAAAAATTGCAATTTATATTTTAATTGTTAACTGTTACTCATGAAATAGTCTTGTCAAATACCATTCGGGCATCTAATTTTTCCTGTGAAAAAAATCGAAAAAACACAATGCTAAGTAATATTTTTGAACAAAATGCATTCGTGCAGGTGCAAAAATCCTCCTCTTCGACGCGGATTTTTGTTGCCACCAGCACTCATGCTTCTTGTTAAAATATTACTTAGCAACGTGTTTTTTCGATTTTTTTCGGAAAAATTAGATGCCCTTATGATATTACTTACGAAAATAAATTACTATAGTGACATTTTGTCAATATGTCTGGTTAAATAAGTAAAAATGGCGTACTCAGACAGAGAAAGACTATTTCAACTTAAAAATAATTTAAATATTTTAGAAACGGTTGAATTTAGGTACATATATAGGTATATGGTATGTTATATGAAATATGCTTAGAATTTTACAAGGAATCGAAAAATAAATACATATATGGGGTGATCCATTGAAAAAAAAATAAACTTTTTGTTTTTCCCTATATACTGAACAATTTTCCAATTTTCTTTAAGTAAAAAAAATATTTTTTAGTAACTACACTTAAAATAAAAAAGTTAAAGGGGGGCGACATTATAGGGGATCACCCTGTACATGTACAGTAGGGTTATTAAAAAAATCCAATATTTTTTTTACTTCCGACACTGAAAAATTGGTTCTTAGTCACCTCTAGAAAGTGCTCACCAAATTTGAGCTCTTAATATTAATAGGAAGATCCTCTTCATAACAGTTTTCCATTTTTTCTTTAGTGCCTTATAAAAACGATCATATTTCATTATTAATTAATCGTTTAATCAAATTTTTATACATATTTGTAGGAAATTGAATGCTCTACAAAGAAGGACTGATTACTGACTCTTACCATTTAAAAGATATTTGAGATAAAAAAAATTTTTTAAAATAATTTTGTAACTCATTGAACAATAATTATTATCTAATTAGTATGACATATTTTTGTAGGAAATTTAACACATGTGTTTAATTGATTACTCTAACTGTTAAGAAAATATTTGTATCCGAATCCCTAGCGTAAAGAAATTGTTTTTAATAAACTATTCAAACTTTGATCTTGAATATCTTTTAAACGGTTAGAGTAATCGCTTAAACACATCAGTTCTTTTTTGTAGAGAATTGAATTTCCTACAAAATAAATATAAAGATTTGATTAAACGATTGATTAATAATGAAATATGGTCTTTTTTATAAGGGGCTAAAGAAAAAGTGGAAAACTGTGATCAGGATCTTCCTATTAATATTAATATGAGCTCTTAATTAAGAGCTCAAATTTTGTTACCACTGTCTAGAGGTGCCTAAGAACCAATTTTTCAGCGTGGGAAGTAAAAAAAAGAATATTCGATTTTTTTTAATTACCCTAATGTAGAGTGGTAACCAAGTATCCTAGCTATAAGGTCGGTTAGAGAAATGTTGCGTAATTAAAAGTCTATTAAAATGGCATTTGAAAATTGAAAAAAATCAGCAGTTCTGAAATAATTTGAAAAAAACTTAAAACCTGTCAAAACCAAAAATCCTTATAACGAAGTTATTTCTGGCATTTTTTCATCCAATTTGTGATTTTTTTCGATTTTGAACTTACCAGCACCATCATGTTTACTTGGTTAAATAAAAAAACAAGGAATCCAACGATGTATCAAACTTACTACATAAGTTATAGCGGCCATTATAAAAACAAAAGATGGTGGTAGTAACCCAAAATGTAGTTAATTAACGAAGAAATTGGACGAAAATGTATATAAAACTTTTTTTTCTTCAAAATTCTCAGGAATAATGAAATAACGATTTTAGGATTTGTCTCCTTTGAGGAGACAGTCCTTCTTTTTTCATAGTAGGTTCAGGTTTGCCCTCCTCAATGATAGTGTTCTCCTTTCAAATGATAAGACACCAATTGTCCTACTTTTTAAAACATTTAACAAATATTCAGACAATCTAACAACCTAATACGACTTTGATAACACGATAGGTGTATAGTGCGCGATTTTTGTGACACTCTGTAGATAATTATTTTGAAAACGTTTGAAAACGTCACGTATCCACTAAGTAGTTTGTTATTTCGAATTTTATGACTTAGGTAGCTCAACAAACTCGATTACAATTGTTAATGCGTACCTTATTTATTTGTAATTTCCGACAACAATGTGCATGCTAACATATTGCTAAACAACGTCTTATCGCAAAGAGATAAGACATGGTTGGCTTGAAAAGAGTGACCGCATCCAAACATTTTAGTCGTACTTTGTTATCATCTCAGTCAAGAGCATTCCATATTTTCTTTGTAGTTTATATATTTTTCTGTGAAAATGTTATTTTTAGTTGAATAAGGACGATACTTCTCTGGTTATGTCACATTGATATGATTAAAGGTATTGTTATTTATAATTATTTATAGATGTAATATTATTGTTGATCAATTTTACTAGGAACCCAAATTTATTTTATTTGTAAATTACAAATTTTGCAATCTAAATGAATAATACTTTTGTTATGTTTAGAATTTGCATAAATAGATAAGTTTAAGGATCGGCAAAATAATAAATAGCGTAATATCGTTGATTGAGACGGTAATATAATAATAATTATTAGATACTATTTTTCTGACATATTCAAATATCTAAATAATTATGGATTATTTCTGTTTTTTGTTAAAAAAAGTTATTTATCAACAATGAAACCCTATTATCATTAGGTATCTAAAAAAGGGTAGAATGCAAAAAAATGTAAATAATATTTTTTTATGCTTAATTTTAGAACAATAATTATTTTACTATTTAAATATTTATATTTTTTCCTAATGTAGTTTTATACAGGGTGCACCAAGTATCATTTTGTGTGTATGCTTCTATGGGTATTTTTTTATTTCAAGAGCTACAAGGTAAATTGTAAAAAAAGCAAGGGGTTACCAAAATATTATAAAAAAAATCTTTGTTATACCAGGGATTTTTGAAACAAAATAAGTTTAGCATGTAAACATTAATCTACATTGTCATCCAATTTCTTTGCTGCTATGTTTTGAGTTACCATTACCATCTTTTATTTTTATAATGGCCGCCATAAATTGTCTGATACATCGTTGGATTTTTTGATTTTTTTCCATCTAACCATGTAAAGTTCTAATATGGTGGCCATAGGAAAAACAAAAGATAGTGGTGGTATCTAAAAACCTAGTAGGCAAAAATATTACCTATTGGATGAAAATGTGGATACATGTGCATGTTAACATGTAAAACTTACTTTTTTACGTTTTCACAGTTGTCTAATTTAACCGACCATGTAGCTTTTTAAATAAAAAAAGATACCCATACATACAGTGTGGCCCATTTGTTTGCGACTCACCCCTGTAAAATCTTTATTTGGTATGCGATTTTAACCAGATTTGTTTTAAAGTGTAGATGTTGATAAAACGTATTTTTGGAGCAAAAAAACACTATATTTTAAAAAAATATAAGGCCTACTATGTCAGTTTTTGCAAGAAAATTTTTAAAACCACCCAATACTAAATTTTATTGAAAAAAATTAAGTAAGAACGATTTTGTAGACAAATTAAAAGTGAACAATAATAACTATTTACAAAAATTTACTCTGTCAAGTTATGCATGAAAAAGATATTAAAATAAAATTAAACCAATATTAACATAGTATAAATATTCTTATGCTTAGTCTTGACAAATAAAATACACAATAGAAACTTAAAACAACAATAAAACAAAAAATTCTCAACAATTATTATATATTTATTATATTATCGTCACCTCTACTGCACAAGAACTACGGTCTAGGTTAATACAAGCCTGCGCAGCCATTACTCCAGAAGAAATATGAAAGTGTATTGAAATAAATAGTGGATTAGTAAAGTGAATTTTTGGAATTCTCTATATTTTGTTTTATTGTTGTTTTAGGTTTCTATGGCGTTTTTTATTTGTTAGTAAGTAAGCATAAGAATATTTATTAGACTGGGCCAAAAAAATCAACTATTTTTTTTTTGAAAAGTATATCGAAAATATGGTTAGGGGTGACAAAAAAATTATTGTGAAAGTTTGAGTCCATAATATTAATATTAAGAGGTCTATCATCGCAATTTTAATTTTTTTTTCCTCAGCAAGTTTTAGGCTCAGAACTCCCAAACCATTGAGTTTAACAAAATTGACTTAAAAATATTTTTTTAAGAAAATTAAATGC